ACACAACTTGGTGAGCACATCCAGGGCAGCATCTGTTAGCTGAAATATGTCAACTGGTATACCATCTATTTCTGGGGCATTATTTTTTGCTATACACACATGCATATAACACATTTGCCAAATCAAGATTTACATGTATTCAATTTAGATCTGGGAGTCTGGGCTCTATGAGGAGAAATGTGGTGTCAGGATTGGTGGAAGATCTATCAATAATCTGCGTTATGCAGATGACACAACCCTGCTTGCTGAAACTAAGGAGGACCTGAAGCGCTTCCTGCAGAGGGTCAAGGACTGCAGTCTCCAATATGGATTGAGGCTCAATGTCAAGAAGACAAAGATTCTCACCACTGGACCAATTGGTAGCATTAGGATGGATGGTGAAGAGACTAAGCTTGTTCATAGCTTTAGCCTGTGGATCAGCAGTCAACACTCTTGGCACCAGTAGCCAGGAAATTAAAAGACGTATTGCCATGGCAAAGTCTGCTGCTAGGGACCTCTCCAAAGTACTGAAGAGCAATGATGTCTCTTGGAGACTAAGGTGTGTCCGATACAGGCCATGTCCTTTGCTATCACTTGTTATGCATCAGAGAGTTGGACAGTGACTAAGGAGGATAGAAGGAGAATTGATGCCTTTGAGCTGTGGTGCTGGAAAAGAGTATTGAATATACCCTGGACTGCCAAGAAAGCAAACAGATTCATCCTGGAAAGGGTTAAACCAGGTAGCTCCTTGGAGGCAAGGATTCTGAGGCTCAATCTAACATACTTTGGACATGTTGTGAGGAGGGACCAGTCCTTGGAGAAGGACATCATGCTTGGGAGGGTGGAGGGACAGCGCAGGAGGGGAAGGCCCTCTGTGAGGTGGATTGATTTGGTGACTGGGGTAATTGGGATGGGTGTGTCAGAGACGGTGCGATTGGCACAGGACAGAGCAGAGTTTAGGCCTGTTGTACATAGGGTCGCTATGAGTCGCAAGCGACTCGACAGCACATAACAACAACAACAATAACGTGAGTGGTGAAAACCCATCACCAATGGCCACTGCCACATCTCTCTATCACCATAGACAGGAACTCTGTCCTTTCCCTCCTTCCCCTTCCGCCTGTCCTGGTAACCACTAGAGAGTCTCTTCTAAACTTGCTTCTTTCTGTTGCTGTTGTTGAGTCCTGCTGGGTTGGAATCGACCCACAGCAGACTCTATAGTGGGAGAAGGTGGCCAATCCTGCTCCCACAGACCAGCCAGGTGGATTGGGCGTCGACTGCCGAGACTTGTTGTTGTTGATTGCCGTTGAGTCAAGCACAACTCATAGGGACCCTGTGAACAAAAAGCCTGAAGTCCCTCTACTGCCTATGCTAGATACTTCCTATTTGCCCTTACAGGAACTGTCTTATACATACACCCTTGAACATGTGTCACACTTACGGTAAATTGCTAAGGGTGCCATGGCTGATGAGAGAGTAAGACCGTGTTTAAGGATTCAGTATGCCGTTTGAGGCCACAGTCCAGAAGGCCTGGACCGTTGCTGTCCTCCGCCCTCAGCTCCTTCAGTGCTCGCTTCCTCACGTCCTCACCGGCATTCCGCAAGCCTCATGCACTCGCGTTGTGTACCGGTCGTTATGTTAGATGCTGTACATTGACAGAGTCATATTGTCATGGCAGAAAATGTGAGATTTAAACACTCAACCAATATTGGAAATTAACAAACCCGTTATTGCATGCGGGTTGAGAACATCAGGTGTTGCTTAAGCCATTCTGACCCTGAGGGGAAGCAAAGATTGGGTTTATGTACAGAGATTGAGCATGGGGGTTATACAGAGTTCATTGAGGTTGGCAGTTGAGATTTCTTCATGTTCAGGCATTGTTCATGTCTCTGACTTCTCATAGGTGTCCAGGCCCCAGGCCAGGTACAGATTGTGGTCAGGGAGTAGTAACCAAGCTGGGTCAGCCTGTACTAGGGACCTTAGCAACACATATTATTGCCAAAATTATTAAGACATACGTTTCTTTTTTTTTTTTTCAGGATTCTAAGACATACGTTTCTTAACACAGCTGTCAGGACAAAATGCCTTTTCTAATACTAACCTATGCAATGGCTTATCTAATGTTTAGCATATAAACTGCTCTTACAATATAAAACACAGTCTGGAAGGCATACAATCAATTTGCATTCACCAAGTACTCCGTGAGAGAAGGAGAATCAAAAGCTTCCCTTGGAATTTACTGCTTCTGACAATCTGCTGGAGGGTCAGCTAAGGCTGAGTTCCCACTCAATGGCCAACAACAACAACAGCAACAACAATGCCGTAGAGGACATGGTGTCTGAGGGAGGTGGACCAGGGAGTCAGCAGTCACAGATCATTGTGCTGGGAGTTGGAGCTCTGGATGCACAGACCTTGGACATCAGGTCAAGCTATCACAGCTTCTCAGAGGAGGCTGATTCTGAGACTCGTCTTGAAAGGTTATCAGAGGCTAGTTGAGTCAGGAACAGGGAAGGGGTGATGGGGAGAGGCATCCAGGGAGAGGAAAGGTTCCCAGACCTTGTAAGGAGAGCAGAATGTTCTGTAAGGTTGGACTGGTGGGCGGGGTGTGTGTGTCTTTGTGTGTCTGTGGACCCGCACAGTCAACAGGAGTGATGGAAGCTGATGCTGAGGAAATGGGCTGAGTCTGACCAAGAAGGGCTCTCTAGGGAGTCACCTTCAGTCTGACAGCTAGATCGATGGGCGTCATCACATATGGAAACCACCTTGGGAAGCAGGAGGTGATGTGAAGCCCTGTGTGTGGAGGGCTGGCGCTGGTCAAAGGGAACAGCAGTGACCGTGAACTCTATTATAGCTGTGTGAGCCGAGATCAGCCACCCAGCCGCTGTATTGAGTGGAATGCCATTGTTGTTCGGTGCTATCAAGTCAACTATAATACGTAGGGACCTTGTGACATGGATGGGAACCCCGCCCGCTGCTCACCAGCTCTGACCTACTTAAACCCACTGCTGCAGTCACCGTGTTGATCCATCTTTTGGAGTTTTCCTCTTTCTCTTTGACCCTCCACCTTTCCACATATGACGTCCTTTTCCAAGCTCTGGTCCCTCTTGACAACATGCCCGCAGTATGTGAGATGAGGTTTCATCAGCATCCTCCTTTAAGGATCACCCTGGTTGCACTTTCTCAAGTCAGACTTGTTTGTTCTTTGGGCAGCCCATGCGATAGTCAATACTCCACACCAACACCACAGCTCAAAGGCATACATTCTTTTTCTGTCAACCTTTGTCATTACCCAGCTCTTGGAAGCATAGCAGGTGATTGAGAAGACCATGGGCCTGAATCAGGTCCAGGTCTAAATAACTACGCTCCTCGCATCTCTGGCACACCCACATCCTTTGACTTTTTATTCTGTCTTCCAGAAAAGGTGGCCATTAAGATCCTGGACAAGACCAAGTTAGACCAGAAAACGCAAAGGCTGCTGTCCCGAGAAATCTCCAGCATGGAGAAACTGCACCATCCCAACATCATCCGCCTGTACGAAGTTGTGGAGACCCTTTCCAAGTTGCACTTAGTGATGGAGTATGCAGGGGGCGGGGAGCTCTTTGGGAAAATTAGCACCGAAGGGAAGCTCTCGGAAGCAGAAAGCAAGCTCATCTTTTCCCAGATCGTGTCTGCCGTGAAGCACATGGTGAGCAGGGGCCTCACCCCAAACCAGCCCCAAGGGACTGTGGGAGGTGGGAGAGCCTCAGCCTAAACCAGCCCCAAGGGACTGTGGGAGGTGGGAGGGCCTCAGTCTAAACCAGCCCCAAGGGACTGTGGAAGGTGGGAGGGCCTCACCCTAAACCAGCCCCAAGGGACTGTGGAAGGTGGGAGGGCCTCACCCTAAACC